TATAACATCATCCTTGGTCGCACCGCCCTCAACGCTTTCCAAGCTATCACTTCAACCTACCACCTCGTCGTAAAGTTCCTTATCGACCTAGGCGTCGGGACAGTAAGGGGAGAGCAGACCATAGCCAGGGAATGTTATGTCGCCTCAGTCAAGCTGAAGAACGCCATGATCATTGAAGGACTTGACGTCCGAGATGAAGACGAGCTTGTCAGAGGAGAATCGGTGGAGGAGCTCGTTGAGGTTCTCATCGATCCCACCAACCCAATAAAAACTGCCAAGATCGGCAGCCAACTATCTCCCCAAGCTAAGGCCGACCTTACCGCCTTTCTGATAGAACACAATGATGTATTCGCCTGGACCCATTCAGACATGCCGGGCATTGACCCCTCTTTCATAACTCACCGCCTAAGCATCGAACCCCATTTCCGACCTTACCGCCAGAAGCAACGCATCTTTCATCCAGAGCGCAATGCTCTTATAGCCGCAGAGGTTAACAAGCTCCTTGAGGCCCAATTCATCAAAAACGTGGATTACCCTAAATGGTTGTCAAACGTGGTCCTAGTCCGCAAGAACAATGGCAAATGGCGACTCTGTGTCGATTACTCTGACTTAAACCAAGCTTGCTCCAAAGACAGCTATCCCCTTCCCCGCATAGATCTGCTGGTCGACGCCACGGCCGGTCATCAAATGCTCAGCTTCATGGATGCTTTCTCTAGGTACAACCAAATCCTGATGCACCTGTTCGATCGGGAACATACATCCTTCATTACCGACCGAGGTACCTACCACTACCGCGTGATGCCATTCGGATTGAAGAATGCTGGGGCCACCTACCAACGGTTGGTCAATGCCGTTTTCCATCATCAGATAAGTCGGAATATGGAAGTATATGTCGACGACATGCTAGTCAAGAGCAAACTCTCTATTTATCATTTGTCCGACCTGCGAGAGACCTTCGCCACCCTATGCAAGTACCAAATGAAGTTCAACCCAGAGAAGTGCGCCTTCGGCGTAGGATCTGGGAAGTTTTTGGGTTTTATGGTCAGTCAGCAGGGCATTGAAGCTAACCCTAAAAAGATCAAGGCCTTGATTGAGATGAAGTCACCCAGAACGGTTAAGGAGGTTCAAAGGCTCACTGGCCGAGTTGCGGCCCTCAACTGCTTCATTTCCCGCGCAACAGATAAGTGCCTACCATTCTTCAAAGTTCTTCGGCAAACTTTTGAATGGACAACTAAATCTGAAGAGGCTTTTCAGCAGTTAAAGCAGTGCATGGCCAATCCCCCCTCATTTCACAAGCAATTACGGGCGAGCCCCTCTTCCTCTATTTAGTCGTCTCAAGCACTGCAGTCAGTGCAGCTCTTATCAGGGAAGACGACTCTGTCCAACGGCCGGTCTACTACATCAGTCGGGCTCTCAGGGGAGCAGAGCAGAATTACCCGCTGTTAGAAAATTTGTCCTTAGCCTTGGTCATTGCCTCCAGACGGCTCTGTCCTTACTTCCAGGCCCATTCCATAGTGGTTCTCACCGACCAATCCTTGAAGAAGGTCATGCAATAACCAGAACTTTCCGGCAGACTCATGCAGTGGTCAGTGGAGCTCAGTCAGTTTGACATCTCCTATCGGCCTCGAACAGTAATTAAGGGACAGGCTGTCGCGGATTTCATCCTGGAATTCACTCATCCTTCCCTAACTGCTGCGCCTCCACTCCCACCAACCCTTACCGAGCCAGAAGACCCGCATTCTTGGACTCTCAACGTAGACGGATCATCCCGCAGGGAAGGTAATAGGGCTGGCCTCATTCTCACCGCCCCTGAGGGTGGCTATTTCAAATGTGCTCTTCGTTTCTTGTTTAATGCCAGTAACAATGAGGCTAAATATGAGGCATTGATAGCAGGACTCCGCCTCGCCAAGGACATTGGAGTCAGCCACATCCGGGTGTTCAGCGACTCCCAGCTCATTGTCGGCCAGATTACGGGGGAATTCGATGCCAATGAGGACACAATGCGGGCTTACAGGGATATGGCCTTCCCCCTTGTTTGCCTCTTCAATACCTTCCACATCAAGCACATACCTCGGGCGAAAAACTCTAAGGCAGATGAGATGGCTCAGTTGGCCTCTGCAGACCAGTCCAACCTCAGCCACGGTGTCCGCCTCGAATACCTAGCCCACCCGGCCATCTCACCCGACCTACAAGAAGTGCAGTTCCTCCAAAACGAACCTATCCCTTGAGCGTTCGACATCTTCTTATTTTTGACAACGGGTGAACTCCCAGATGACCAACAGCAGGCCGCCAAAGTCAGGGCCCGGTCGTCCAATTACATCCTGGTTAGTGGCGTCTTGTACAAACGTGGTTTTTCACGCCCATACCTACGATGCCTCAATTCTGCTCAAGCAAACTATGTAATGCGGGAAATCCATGAGGGAATTTGTGGTAATCATTCGGGCGGTAGGTCTCTAGCCCACAAAATACTCCGTACTGGTTATTTCTGGCCAACTCTCAATCAAGATGCAACTGATTTCGTGCTCAAATGTGATAAGTGTCAACGTTTTGCCAACATTCCCTATGCTCCTCCTACAGAGTTGATCACACTTTGCAGCCCTTATCCGTTCGCCAAATGGGGGATCGACTTGGTCGATCTACTTCCCACCGGCCGAGGCCAGACCAAGTTCGCGATTGTCGCCATTGATTACTTCACCAAGTGGGTAGAGGTAGAACCCCTTGCTACCATCACCGAGCGGAACACAACCAAGTTCATCTGGCAGTCAATCGTTTGCAGGTTTGGCATCCCTCAGGCCATCGTCTCCGGTAACAGCAAATAATTTGACAACGCCAAGTACAAGAAGTTCTGTGCCGACCTCCAGATTCAACCATGTTTCTCTTTCCCCGGTCATCCCCAGGCTAATGGCCAAGTTGAGATCACCAACCGTTCTCTTCTAAAGATCATCAAAACTAAACTAGAAGCTGCTAAGGGACTTTGGGCTGAGGAACTACCGAATGCACTCTGGGCTTACCGAACTACAGCTCGGACTCCCACTGGGGAAACCCCTTTTCGCTTAACATACGGCCTTGAAGCGGTTATTCCAGTAGAAGTCCGTCTGCCTACTCCCAGGGTTTTACAGCCGGATCCAGCACTAACCGAAGAGCTCCGTCGGGCAGACCTGGACCTAATTGAAGAACTCAGAGAGACCACCATTGTCAGACTGGCCTCATACCAACAGAAACTGAGAACACACTACAACCGCAAAGTCCGACCAAGGGAGTTCGCTGTAGGGGACCTTGTCTTGAGAGAAGCAACTCTTGCCACCAAAAATCTGACTGAGGGTAAACTGGCAGCCAAATGGGAGGGACCTTACGTTGTGAAAGCCCGACCACGTCCGGGCACCTACCGACTTCAGGACATAGAAGGTTGAGACCTCACCCACCCCTGGAACGTTGAACATTTGAAGCGCTACTTTCAATAAGTTCCTACTATTGTATTGCTTAGTTGTTCTATTTTCTTTTTGATGCAATGTAAACTTTGATCGACTGGACTACACTGTCCAGGACAACAATTCTATATCTTAGCTATCTGTGTGTTATCTCAATAATACTCTCATTTGCAGCACACATTAACAGCCTCAGCCAAACTGGACACCAGAAGCCTCGGCCAGTCCGACCGTTAAAAGCCTCAGCTAGACTGAGCATTAAAAGCCCCAGCCAGACTGAGCACTAAAAGCCTCAGCCAGACGGAACATTAAAAGCCTCAGCCAGACGGAGCACCAGAAGCCTCAACCAGTCCGATCGTCAAAAGCCTCAGCCAGACTGAGCACTAAAAAGCGTCGTCCAGACCGAGCATCGAAAAGCCTCAGCCAGACTGAGCACTAAAAGCCTCAGCCAGACCGAGCACAAAAAGCCTCAGCCAGACTGAGCACTAAAAGCCTTAGCCAGACTGAGCATGAAGCACTCGGCCAGACCAAACCTCAGCCAGCCTAAGCATAACAAGTCTCAGTCGGACCGAGCGCCACAATTTCAGGTTCAGATTGAGTTACTTACAACGTTAGTGAATCATAGCTTAGCCCCAACTGAGCACACGTGCAGGGCTCGGTCAAAGCCATCTATGCATACTTCATGCTTGTGGAATTAGTAGACACACTTAGTCACAATTCCAGGTCCAAGTCTTTACACCACTCTTCGCTTAGTCAAATTCCAAAGACGTTCTTAAACGTTTTCTTTACAAGTCAGGTTATGTTCTTCTCAATCAAACTCTTACAAGTCAGCCTGTTTCCTTACAAGCCAAGCCTCACTCCAATAAACCACTAATCTACTTCAGCAGTGTGGCAAACACAAACTTATAATCTTATTACATTTTAAATTTCACTCTGCATTGAGGAGTTCCTAACTTTACCCTGCATTGAGTTTTTATTACAACTTCAATTTCACTCTACACTGAGGAGTTCTTAAATTTAGTTTTTATTACGAGTTTAACTCCACTTTGCACTTCACAATGAGTTATACACACGCCTCACCCACGCCTCATTCATTTCAGTTGCACAAGCATAGACAATCAAATGAAAACATAATTGCAATTTTATTTATTCAGAAATTTGTACATGAGTTCATTACAGCCATTCAAAAAAAAAAAAAAAAAAAAAAAAACAAACAAAACAAACACAAACGCACAAGGTCTGTGCAAGGTTTTCTTCTTCTTCTTCAAACTACTCCTCTTCACTGGACACAAGGTCTTCTTCTTCAATACCCTCATCAAGGGGGGTCTGGGCCACATCGTCGTCATGGATTTTCACACTACTCAGGTCTAAGTCTGGGAACAGCTCCTCAGCTTTACGCTTGAACATTTTCCAACCGATGTCCTAGAACTCAGCTATTTCGTGCTTATAAAAGTCTGACCGCTGGAAGCTCTCAATCACTTCTGCCTCAGTCCTTCCTCCAGCAGTCATCCTCGACGAACCCCCCCCAGACTCCTCCCTCGCCAAGCTACTGGCGACCGCCGCATCCACTGCCATCTAAAATTCAGCAGACCCCTTGAATTGGTCCACTGCTGCCACATACAGATCGAGGTAAGCCGCCCTTTCAGAGGCTGCCTTAGCCCTTTCCTCCGCCAACTCCTTATCCAGGGTCGCCCTTTCAGCAGTTTCCTTGGCTTTCTCTACCTCCAACTCCTCCTGAAGGCTCTCCTTTTTAGCAGTTGCCCTGGCTTTCTCTGCCTCGAACTCCTTCTGAAGGCTCTCCTTTTCAGCAGCCGCCTTGGCTCTCCCTGCTTCTAACTCCTTCTGAAGGCTCTCCTTCTCCTCCACTGCCTTAGCACGCTCGCCCTCCAGCTCCTTCTACAAACCACCAATCTTCACGCCTGCCTCATCCTTCTGCCTGACCAGCTCTTCATTATTGCTCATTGCCTCTTCATGTCGTTCGACCGCGACCGTGCAGGCTTTTTGGGTCTCATCCAACCTCTTCTGCTCGCCAGCCAGTTGGAACTCGAGCGACACAACCTGGCGGCGTGTGTTCTCCAGCTCCACCTTGACCGCTTGTAGATCAGCGTGGGCACTCTCCTAACTTGCACTCTTCTTCTTCAACTTTGCAAGCTGAGTCTTGGCCTCATCTGCCTTGAGTTTTATAGCTCCCGCCTTTCTCAGCAGAGCCCTTGCTAAGGTGGTTACCTCAATTTGAGCAGAGTATAACCCCCTTAGCAGCTCAGCCTCATTGAATCTGGCTGTTGAGCGCAAGGCTGCCTCTTCCACAATCCCCACAAGGCGGTTTGCCCCTACCTTGGTTGGGCCTTCTTCTCCCTCCAGCTGCCCAGCCACTGCACGAGCGTGGTAGATCGCAGTAGTCAGACTGACTCCCCTTCCTTGGGGTGTAGGACCCCCCTGGGGTTGTTCTCCCCTCCTTGGCTCAGGGCCAGTCGCCCCACCTTTTACTTGCACTCCGGGGATGGCCCTCGCTACCCCTGTGGCGATCTCCACCACTACTGGGACGACCTCCATCCCCTCCGACGCGATGTCCACCACTTCTGGGACGACCACCCTTCTTGGGGTCTCCTCTACTCCCCCCCTCTCTGCCTCCTTGGCCACACTGGTCTCTTCTGCTCTCACTTCCCTCCTTCTCTTCAAGGTAGGCTCCTCTTCACTCCTCCTCACTCTCCTCTTCTTCTTCACTACGCCCTTCACCTCCATCTCTTTCAAAGCCCTCTCCTTCAAAGGATCTGTTGGGGGCGGTCGTGGCACAAATTCACTTAAGTCTTTTTCCCCCAAGGGTTTGGGGCGAGATCGGATCCTCTCCCTCGCGACCGACTGTGGCGGTCGGTCTGCCTGCGACTCTTTGAATTTTTAGGCTTTGGCCAAGATGGTCTGGTCCTCTGCCTCTTGAACCTTCTTCCTTGCCTCTAACTCCGTTCGGTCGAGGTCCCCACCACTTGGCTGTGGACCCAACCCTGCCTCAAACAAAGCCGACGGCTGAACGAGCTCGTCCTATCTGGCCCCTTCTTTCTCCCTCCATTCCTTTACCCTCTTCATCCTCTCCTCTACTGCTGCTTCCAGCTTTGGCTCCATAGACTTGGTGGGCACTTTCCAAATGGTGCGCACTCCAACCCCTCCACTGGCAGACACATAGAACCACCGTGGTCTCCACCCCTTGATCGACGACGGCAGCCCCGCCACCAGCTCTTTCCCTGCCGCTGCCTGCAGAGTGACCCAAGTCTCTTGTTGTCCTGAGGCCTTGTAACATGCGAAGAATTCGTCTACTGTCATGGCTGCCCCTTCGTTCGCCTTCGGCCACGCACTTGCACAGGCCAGTAAGATCTTCCACGCATTGGGCATTAGTTGGCCCGACGCTACCTTCAAACGATTTAGGACATCTACTACCACTTGCGGCAAGGGCAGCCTCAGTCCTCCCTTCAATGCTTCCTCATAAAGGGCAAACTCCCCTGGCCTAGCGTCGGATGGCCTCTCCGTCGGCATCGGCAACAATAACTCTATCTCAGCAGGCACCTGGTATTTTTCGCGAATGGCCTCCAAATCCGCTGCAGTAATCGTTGATCTATCTGCCTTTGTATGCCAGTGATCTGGTTCTGCCTGGCTGATTGGCTTTGGAGTTGCTATCATGGTGGAACCATGGGATTGTACCACCGACTCCCCCACCCTCTCCATCTTATATTGCTGTGCTAACTCCACTGCATCATCATCACCAAGTGGATCCACCCTGACATTCACAATTTCTTCTTGGGCCATTTCTATGTTATGCCTGCGAATCGCTTCGGATGCAAGTGCAAGGAAGTTGAAAAAATGTTGCAGAGGTGTATCGTGAGCAACAAAGGAATTCACACTTGGAATATTTTGATTTTTCGTAAACAAGTAGGTGAATCGAATAATGCCAAAAGCCCACGGTTTGCCCGTATTCCAAGGATCCTAATTAATTTTCGCCAGTTTGAAAACTTTTCAAATCATCCGCCAAAACTGTCTTTTCAACACCCATAATGACCTATCGTTTCATTTCTGATCTAACGCCTAATCTCCCCCCCTGCGGGATGTTGCCACGTGTACGACCACGATCCACTGTCTCCTCCCCTTACCCTGTCTTTTCCACTTCAAATCACCATATGACACGCCGCCTCTCGAGCCTCCCGCCCCTCCACCTCACCCTTCGCGGTTGGCCCTCCGCGTGGTCGACCCTTCCACCTGGCCAACCTTCGCGGTCGACCCTCCTCGTGGTCGACCCTTTATCCCGGCCAACCTTCGAGTCGGCCCTCATCGTGGTCGACCCTCCCACTTGGCCAACCTTTGCGGTCGGTCCTCCCCGTGATTGGCCCTTCCACTCGGTCCCCCTGCACGGTCGGACCACCTCCTGGTCGGTTCCCCCTCTCGGTCTCCCCTGCAGGTCGACCTCCATCTTGCCAATCCCTAACACCCTCATCTATTTCATTAATATTCCCTTCGTTGGACTAAAGCTGTACTCGGGAATGGGGGACTACTGACGTGTATAAGCCCATAAAGACCACGAATCACTATGAACAATCCAAGCCCATCACTTGGAGCCCAATACATAACCTAGCTGGTGAGGGTCAGGACAGCTGGACTCCAACATGGCATAAAGAGCCAATGACATTCAGACACATGGCAGGTGAAGGACGAGCCACGTCAGCAGACAAAGATCTGTAAAGTTATTGCCACTGCACATCACCATTAATGCAGCCCATCACAGCATTTATTACGACAACACCTCTCCGTCGGAATAGGACCCCCTTACCCTGAACAAGGTAAGCTACAGCATAGACTTTCGGCAATGAGGGCAGGTCGGAAGGGACATCGAAATGATTACCAAAGGATATAAGCAAACGTTGAAGACAAGAAGAAGGTTAAGCTTTTCTATCTCTAATCTCTCCCTCTACACTCTACTTCTCTTCCTAACTTGCTCGTCGGAGGGTTCACTGGGGGACTACCTTGTTCCCCGTTGAACTTGTTTGCAGGCTATCCGGTGGGCTTGATCATTTGGACCTGGGCTTGAGGAGCTTGGACTAGTTCGATCCATTCACTGGAACAAACTGTATCATCACATTTCATTGTTGGATTATTTTTTATGAGATTAGATATGATACAATTATTGATAGAATTGTGAGTGATATGTAATGTTATTTAGATCTGATGGATAATTGAATATATGATAGGATTCTAAAGGATGAGTTGTGGAGTATATTAAGAAATTAATAAATGGATAAATAATTAGATGTAGAAAGGGAGATATTATATTTGACTAGGATGAGATAAAAAGAAGTTTAATATGCTCAATGTCACAATACCTATGATATTACAAAGTAAAACAAACGCTAGATTAAAATAAGTGTGAGATTCGCATGTTTCCACACTTCCAATCATCCTCCTTTTCTTGCAATCAAGCGCAAGATTAAAATAGGCATGAGCATTGTAATCAGAATCTCGATCAATTCGAATCACGCTAGGATTTTTAATTCAGCAGAAAAGTAATTATGATCCTACTCATAAAAAAATTATTATTATTTATTTCTTATATATGTACGTATATTGTATGTTTATATAGGGAATTTGACTATAAACTCTTCCTCTAAACATCTCTACTTTATATTGACATAAAAGACGCATTATATTAAATTTATCATTTTTCTTTAATAATTTTAAAATTACTTATGATACATTATCATTATGGATGATTTTTTTGTTTTATTTTACATTGAAAGTAAAATCTTACGATTCTCAATTTAATTTTACGATCAAATCTACAAGTCTCTCTGCACAATCTTATCTAGGATTCCAATTTTAACCATCTCAAATGTGAGAATCACATGTTCTCCCCACATATTGTTTACCTAATACCGCGGTATTATTTATCATTTTGTGGAATAATTCCACTTGTATTGATCAATGTCAGAGGTGGTCTTCATTTTTTTTGGGACCCAAGGCGATCCCAATTCTTATACATAATTTAAAAATATACATATAAAATATTAGTAATAATTTTCAATTAATATATACATATATATATTTGTACCTAATACCTACCTACTCAAATTTTAAATAAATAAATAAATTACAATTTTTTTTCTCGTGAAAATCACTTAAAATATTAAGTGAGAAATCTAATTTCAAATTATTGTATTAGTAAGTAAATCATTTATAATTTATTTTTCACAATAATTACAATTATATATTTCCTGAGCAATTTTATATGATTTTTGTAGCTTACACAAATCATATTTATTGATATTGACGTAAATCACAATTATAATTATCGAGATAATTTTTTAATATTTTCAAGCGTTAACATTATTAATTTATTCACATTTTTTTCTTGATGTAGTAGATTGAATTATAAAATTTGATCAGTTTCAAATTAAAAAAAAAAAAAATTATTTCTCCAAAAGTAATTGCAGTTGGTATAGTCAAACAATATACTATAAATAATTCATACATCTGACAAACAATTTCAACTTTAAAAAAAAAAATATTTCTCCAAAAGCAATTGCAGTTGGTATAGTCCAACAATATACTATAAATAATTCATACATTTAGCAAATAACCATCCATCCATTACTTCTAAATAATTCACCAATAAACTTCATTTTTAAATCTTCATAATTCACCAATAATGTAGGTTTGGTTCACTAAAATGAAATTGAACAGAATGATATGGTCATTTCTTATAGTTCATTTGGGATATGGGTTGACTTTTTGACCTTTTGACTTTTTTACTGTGCGGCTAAAAAGCCTCGTTTGCGATGTGTTTTTTTAGTTTTTGTGACTTTTGTAAGAGACAAAATATAATGATTATGGTTTGGATGTGATATTTTGTTTTATTGACTTTTTAGTCTATTTTGTTTTTTTGTGATTATTTTAGCCAAAAAGTCCCAAACTTATGATCTGATGTTGATTAATATCTTCTAAGAAACTCCAATATTTAATTATACATAGTGTTGAAAAAAATTGGAAATAATGGAACTGTTGAAATGGGAAAACACATAACAAAGTAACATCTCAACTGCTTTATCAAATTTCTCTAGCAGTGATGTGTCATAATCTTATTCTCTTGCTGATTTCCAAGTTTTGATTATTATCTTCCTCATTGGCCCATATATACTAACTTTTCTTATAGAAATAGCAGTATACAACTTCTATTTGCTTTGTTCGCCATTTCCAAAAGAGTGAAGTGGGCATGCTAAATTAGGTCAGGAAAAAGAATACACATGATAGCATCATCATAATTTTTGCAAAATGCTCATGGGAATCATTCTTTTTGCTATTTCATATTACTTCTCTGCTTTTGTTTTAGCAGATGACATGCTAAATCAATACCAGCAAATCAATGACAGTGGGGCATTAGTATCTGCTAGAGGAGATTTCAAGTTAGGCTTCTTCTGTACAAGCAATTCGAGGAGCCGATACTTGGGGATATGGTATAACAATATCCCAGTTCAAACCATTGTTTGGGCGGCGAACAGAGACAGACCGCTTAATGATTCATCGGGCAGTCTAAAGATTGGGGATGATGGAAATCTGATCCTTCTTGACAGTGGAGGAATAGTTGCGTGGTCTACCGGTATCCGGAATATATCGTCAAAGCCTACTGTTGCACAACTCTTAGACTCTGGAAATCTTGTTTTGAAAAGTGAAAATGGTGGGAACACAGAAAGTTATATTTGGCAAAGCTTTGATCATGCTTCAGATACACAGATAGCTGGTATGAAGCTGGGATGGGACTTGAGGGTTGGTTTGGACCGGTATTTGACATCGTGGAAGAGCGCAGATGACCCTTCTCCCGGAGATATCTCTTATCGGTTTGATCTTGATGGTCTTCCTCAAGGTGTTATACGTAAAGGGTCTGTTAAGCAGTACCGAACTGGGATATGGAACGGGCTGCAGTTTAATGGTGTCGAGCCTCAAAACTCTATCTTCAATACTAATTTCATCGATAATTCAGAGGAGGTGTATTTTGAGTTTGATCTATATCAACAGATAGTAAGGCTGGTTTTGAATTACACGGGGACAATACAATGTGTGATATGGAACAATAGGAACCTTGAGTGGGTTGTGATTAATACAGTACCTAGCAATCCATGCGAAAGATATGGCCAGTGTGGTCCTAATTCTATTTGCACAATCTCTAATGCATTCATATGTAGTTGTTTGGATGGATATATTCCTAAATCATCGAAAGATTGGAATACGATGGTTTGGAATGGTGGGTGCATTCGCAAATACCCATTAAACTGCTCGGATGGAGAAGGATTTGTGGCATTCGAAGGCGTGATTGTCCCTGATTTGTTAGATTTTTGGATGAACACCAGTATGACACTTAAAGAATGTGAATTGGAGTGTCTAAAGAATTGTTCTTGCACTGCTTATGCTAACTCCGATACTGCTGGTGGGGGAAGTGGATGCTTGCTCTGGTATGGGGATCTGATTGATATTAGAAGCTTCCCAAATCCTTGTGATTTGTGTTCAATAATTCGTTAGGCTACAAAATTTGGCCAAATACATAGACTACACAGATTTTTTTATTATTTTTTTTATTTTTAAATATAATTTTCACTGGATGGTGTTTGTAGGGTCTAGATCAAATTCCAAGGAGAAGAAGAAGAGGCCTGTGTTGGAGATTATCCCCATCTCAGTAGCTTGTTGTTGTTCCTCCTTGCTTCTTGTATAATATGGAAGAGGATAAAGCAACCAAAAGGTAAATCTAAGGTTCCTTAATTTGGTTGAATGTTAACTTTATGCGGAATATATAGTAACTAAAGATTTCTTAGTCAATGTTAATTAAATGAATAGAACTATAAAAAAATAGAATGGAAGCAACAACAAATGAAAGAATGAGAAGTTATATTTTCTATTATTATCTCAATAGTGAATACTGAAAATGTTACATAATGAGTTAATATCTGCCTTGTTCTTAATGAATCTTGTATTATTACATGATCTTATAATAATACGTACATAAGTCCACATATTGCACACCAAAAAAGCCCAGTCTTTTTAGTTGTGGTGGAAAGTTTAAGGCTCACTTTGGCAAATTTTTTCTGAACTAGAAATGTGGCAAACCATGAGTCTACCAACAAGTTAATTGGAATGACCTGTTTCTTATTCAGAGTTTATTCTTTTGTTTACTTAATGGTTGCTCCCATTGACCTCTGTCAAAGACAACATTTAAATGACTTACACTATCTTAATCCTAATATTTCATTGGTTCTTTATGATAAGATAGTCTGACAATCTTGTTGGGTCTATTTTCTTGCATCTAAAGTTTCAGGATAGTTTTTTTTTTTTTTTAATCAGCAAAAGAAAGAGCCTTCATTGATGAAATCAAAACATACAATGCGTATGAAAATACATCAACAAAGGGGAAGGCAAGAGCAAAAAGCATCGAAGTGTATCTCCCAAATACCAATTAGGTTGGCACCGTGAAGAACACTCAATCATCTGCTAGCTCAAGCCAACACGTTGGCGAGAGACCAACAGAAAAGGAAGGGGGGATACATCAGAAAAACCAAGCAGACAATGAGGATAGAAACAGCAGCAACCCATGATAGAAACAGCAGTAACCAAACTGAGCTAGCAGATCAACGTTCAAACTGAGCTAGCAAAACACAAGACACATCAGCAACCGAAGAGATCAACACAATCACATCTCCTCTGTTTCAGCTTCAAATTTGTTCAGATACATTTTCTCACCTGTTGAATGTTTGACACAATCACATCTATGGAGTAGAAGCAACCTATGTCTTGTGGTTTCATCCATAAGGCCACCCTAACTTTGATAAGCTAAGATAGCTCCTCAATGCTCGGTGTGTGCCACTGAAAACATGATAATTTCTGAACTTCAACAAGGACCAAATTACTGATCTAAGAGCAGCTCTCCAAACTTGCCTTTCCTTCTTTCTGAACCTCCACTGCAACCACCACTGTATCAGACTTTCCAATGACCCCGGTATGACCCACTTAATACCCCACCAATCCATAATATTAGACCAAACTTGCCACACAAATGGGCAGTACAATAAAACATGATTCAATGTTTCCACTTCAGCTTTGCATAGTACACAGGATAGATCCACATTACCCCTCAACACCCCTATTCTACTTGGTATTAGTGCTCTAGTTCTGGGGAAGGCTTTGAGTTTGTTGTTTATTTGACCCTAGATGTGCAAGACAAGGTTTGTTTGAACTTGGTTAGTTGTGTGTTTCCCTAAAGATAGCAAGACAGAGACAGGGCTGCATTTAAGAAATGATATTAAAATGAGCTGGACATACATTGTTGATGAGTGGTGTTACGATAGCTACATATATATTGTCGCACCAATTTTCTAATAGCTTAAGCTTTTGTGACAATTGATAATCTAGCGCTTTACTTTGAATAGAAAAACAACAAGGATTTGTGCTTATTCCTTTACCAACTTCTTTATCTAGATTGATATGCGAGGAGTAATTAAAAGTGAATGTTTTTGTAATGTCCCTTTTTCCACCCTCCCGATTTAGTGTAATGAAGGTGATTTACAATGTCTTATGTTTTTCTTCTATACTTTAAATACCAAATTCCCCTGTAAAACTTCTGCATCAAGGTCCTGTTGAATTCAATGCCATTGTGGACACAAATAAAACCATGTTTCAAGTTTGTTTCCTGATCTTCTCATCTGTTGTGATCGACAGGTTCACGGCCAAACATTCCATTCAAAGATGATGAAACCGTAGACTTGCCCATTTTCAATATAGTCACAATTGCAAATGCTACAAACAATTTTTCTATTTCTAATAAGATTGGAGAAGGTGGGTTCAGACCAGTTTACAAGGTAATTTGAATTGCACTTACTAAAGTCATATAATTTTCTGTGTTGCGTGTTTGTGAGTGCGCGTCGAAAGAGTATAAATTCAAATCTTTGTCATGAGTGTTAAAAAAAATCTAGTTTTTCTTGTTTGTTTTATTGCTCTTCTATGTAGTGTCGATTTGCCTTAGGTGGCCCCATATCTGTCTAGGTGGCTTTCACCTTAGACGTTTTGTTTGGCGAATGCTTGTGTATGATGTTTTTATCTTCAACCTTTATTTACTTTCTTACTTCCCAAAAACAAAAACAAAAACAAAAAAAAAAGCTTGTGTATTTCCACAGGGTCAGCTATCAACTGGACAAGTGATAGCAGTAAAGAGGCTCTCGGAGAATTCTAAACAAGGGCTCAGTGAATTTAAAAATGAGGTTATCTTGATTGCCAAACTTCAGCACCGAAATCTTGTTAGGCTTTTGGGATGTTGCATTCAAGGAGAAGAGAGGATGTTAATCTATGAGTATTTGCCCAACGGCAGCTTGAGCTCCTTTATTTTTGGTTTGATCTTTCGACTTTTCTTCTAACTTCTTCAATTGAATGTCGAAAACAAACTACACACTACTCGAGGTTGTATATCATTATGTCAATTATTGAACCCAAAACTAATATTCTATACAAATGCCTCTCTTGATCTATGAGCTAGATACTACAAAAAGTAACTCTCTTGAATGGAGGAAACGCTTTGATATTATTGTGGGGATTTCTCGAGGGCTTCTCTACCTTCATCGAGATTCAAGACTGAGAATTATTCACAGGGATCTCAAAGCTAGCAATGTGCTACTGGACAATGAGATGAATCCCAAAATTGCAGACTCTGGCGTTGCTAGAGCTTTTGGAGGAGATTAAATATCAGAGAAAACAAGAAGGGTGATTGGAACTTAATAAGTACCCAAAAGATTTCTTGCATATACTTACCCAACTTCAAGTTTCACCAACTTCTTTCTTGATTTATTAATTTGATTATGGCGTGTAGTGGTTATATGTCCCCAGAATATATATTACGTGGGCTCTTTTCAATGAAATCAGATGTCTTTAGTTTCGGAGTACTTGTTTTAGAAATAGTGAGTGGACAGAGAAACAGAAAGTTCCGACATCCTAACCATGCTCACAACCTTCTTGGACATGTAAGTTTTTACTTGAGTTTGATCTCTTCATTTTTGGAATTTTCTTCCATATTGATCTCTAATATAAATGTGCTCTGTTAGGCATGGGAACTATGGATTGAAGGGAATGCCATCAAGCTAGTTGATGAAAAGTTGGAAACTTCAACAATGTTGATGTTAGAAGTAATAAAATGTATACAAATTGGTCTTTTGTGTGTGCAACAACGCCCTGAAGATAGGCCAACAATGTCATCTGTGGTGTCGATGTTGGATAATGAGGGTGCAATGCTGCCCCATCCTAAACAACCCGGATTTTATACAAAGGGGAGCAGTGACGAGACAGAACTTACATCAACTACTGGAATAAAATGTTCCACAAATAAGGCAACTCTAACAATTCTACTGGGTCGATAAGAAATTCCAATTGAAGCACTAATGCTCATGGTTATTATTATTATTTTTTTTCAGTAAGAGAGTTAATACCATATTTGATAACAGCCTTATTAATTATGGATGATAGATGATATATAAGTTTCCTTGTTTGATAGCAAACGAGATAGAATGAATGACTAATTTTTATTGGCCAAAGACTCTCTAATTCTCAAGTCAGTAAACTGGTGTGATTTATGCAATCGAGGTGCGAGTTGTTGCATACTTCCTTTGGAGTTAGGTGGGATGGATTTTGGATTGTGATCCCTTATTTCTTGTTGTGATGTTATTGTCAATTAATTTTATTTGGTTTTGAGGGTATCCTTGTAAAAAATGTGTAATAATTTCTTAGAAAAATCTTAAATCAATTATTCAATGTGTATAATACATTTCTATTATGTTTATCAAACTTGAACTAAAAACATTCACACATATAATTTTTTGAACTTTACAATTTTGGTTTTAAGGGTATCCTTGTAAAAAATGTGTAATAATTTCTTAGAAAAATCTTAAATCAATTATTTAATGTGTATAATACTTTTCTATTATGTTTATCAAACTTGAACTAAAAACATTCACACATATAATTTTTTGAACTTTACATTTCTTTTTGCTATTGCTTGAGATAACAGGTTTCATCATAGGTCCAATCATTGATTTTCTTTTCAAAGACACATTAAGGTACTTAAAAGAATTTAACGATATTTTAGTACAGTTATTTTGTAGACACAACCAGTTGCTACTGCACAGTTTGGTAGAAGAGGTAGAACTCATGATTTTTTGTTGGGCGATAAGCGACGGTAAAAGGCATAATGATTTGTGATTAGTTTTATAATGTGTCATATGGTGTCCCAGATATGGTAAACAATTTTTAATATTTTATAGGGCTCCACTCACAATTACAAAAAATATAACGATTGATATAAAAAATAAAATAAAATAAAATTTCAAATTTTGCTAAAAGCTTAATTATAGTACACTAACAACAATCATACATTAATAACTATTAGATAAATAGAAAATAATAATAGTAATGTCATCAAATTTTAAATAAAAATATAAATTTATCCTTACAAAAAACTTTCTTAAAATTTATTTAACATATGAATTATCTTATGTAATTTTGGAAATTATGTTCCGTCCTTTCAAGTTTATAATTGCATAACAAATTCATTTTATTAATAAAGCATTAAATCGATTAACATTTTTTTAATAATATCATACACACATTTCAATTAACAACTCAGATAATTTTATTATTGTATAGAAGAGTAGTTAGAAATTTTATTTTTTATGATAATTGTATTAAATAAATAATTCAAACTGAGAGGGTAATTTTGGTGAAAATGGGGCCGAGCTATGAGATGGACTTTATGGCCCAAAGTACGAAGGACTGGGTAAAAAGGCCGAAAAGTTACTCCGGCCCAAGAGAGATAAAGTTACTCCGGCCCAAGAGAGATAAAGTTACTCTGGCTCAAGAATTGTAAAGTTACTCCGGTCCGGAAGCAACTTGGAGTTAGGCCAGTCTCAAAGTTAGTCCGGTCATGACGTATTGTGGTTAGAACGGTCAAAACCTTGCTACTCGGTAGCTCGGTCTAAACATACCATGGTTTGTACATGAAAGAACCGAGATAGGGAGTAGAAAAGAAAGAACCGAACTAAGGATAGTTCGGCTTACTCTGCGGCTCAGCATAGCCAGTATTATTTCGGTCATGTGGTAGTTCGGCCATGGTAAAAACCATCTCACTTGGTTTAAGCAGTGAAGGGGGTGTTGAAGGATAAGCATTATCCTACAGGAGTATGAATCCTAGGAGGACTCTACATGGAGGAATAGAAGTCCTACTGGGATTGTGCCACTCGAAACCTATAAAAGCTCGCAAACATCACCTTTGGGGAGGTAACACACACCTTTGCTTTCTGAATACACAGAGCTTTGTCTATTTGTCAAGTTTGCTGACTTAGGCATCGGAGAGGTTTCCGGCACACACCCGCCGGCTAGCTCACGTTTGTGTTTTCAGGTGATAAAGCGACGCCGTACGGAGGAGCGTAGACTTGGTCAATAGGATTATACGAGAAGGTTTATTTTTTTCCCGTACAATTGGCGCCGTCTGTGGGAATAACAGACAGAACAAAACCTCTTGATTAAAGCTTCTCCCCTTTACAATCAATGGCACACATTGACGAATTACCGCAGTCCGCCATCGACGGGCTAACTCCAGATGGGGGCGTAAGGTGAGAAGGATTACCTTCTGTCCCTCCCATGGCGGACTTGGAGCCCCAACGACATAACTCCAGGAGGGATGCTAGGGAGAGACGGACTAACAGCCCCCGTCGCTCTCATTCGCCAAGTCCTGATAGGCAAAGGCGGAGGATTGACCCTCAAGCTCTGGAAGATCGCGTGAAAGAGCAAGATGAATTGATAAGAAAGATGGCGGCGGACATGGAGGCCTTGAAACGCCAGATGAAGAAAAAAGAAGTGGGGATAGGAGAGGGGTGCAAAAACAAGACGCCCCCTTGCCACTCAGAAAATCGTAGTAGAAATACCACACCCTCGCAAGGAGAAAGTAGAAGCCTTAGGACAGGCGATACTCAATCCTGGTCTTCTAGAACTCGTCACTCCAGGTCTGAGAGGACGAGATCTGAAAGATCATACACTGAAGGAAGCACGTATTGGTCCTCACATACGCACCAAACCAGATCTAGATAGACGGAGTTACCCAGATCATCCGACTTACGAACTGTGCTCGAAGAAAAAGCACGATGCAAGGAGGATACCAGGGCACGGGATCCACACAGAGTCTCTGCCTTACAGCGGTTGGCTCCTCGGACGCATGGAAGCGTCGAGGTTGGAATGCCAATACCGCGCCCTGCCTACGAACCAACGGACAAAGCATTGGCTGCTGTTTGTGTTCTTCTGCAATTATGCATTTGTTCTAGTTATGCGTCTCACTTTGGTTTTGCCATCATTCTTTTGTCCCATTCATCTTGCTTGAATATCATTCTGATAGATATTGCTCAGATCATTTTATACTTGAAATTTGAATCATAGTCGGATCTATACGCCTGCTGCTCCTTCTATAGATGCTTTCACAAGTGGGTCAGGTGTTGACATTGTTTGAATTCATGCTGAAGAAGGTTTAATGGGCTGTCCTTTGAGATTCTTGGTGAAATATTTGATTTGGAAATTGGTGAAATTTTAGAAATGCTCAGATAGTTCCAGGTTGTTTATTTCTTTTTGTCAAATGCATTTTAGTATATATGTTTCTGATAAGTATATGTAATATATGCAGAATGAGATCGTATATGTCCTTGTATGTAAAAATCCACCACAGAACTCTCAGTTTTTCCCGTGTTCATCTTTGATCCATGCTTGGACAGACTGCCTCACCAATCTCGCCATTGCGCAGTATAAAAGAGGCCTTCCAGTCGGAAACAGACTAAGGGACTCGATCACTATGACGCCACCCCTTACCATGGAAGCCCTGATAGAGAGAGTGCATCAGCACATCAGGGTAGAAGAGGATGGCGCACGTGCCAAAGCAAAATCTGGGGCAACCACAGTACCAGAAAAGAAGACCTCAGCAAAGGTCAACACGGTAAATCGAAGTAACAGAAACGGACGTTGCAGACGAGATAACGGAGAAGACCCGGATAAAAGATGGTGAAGAATCCGCACTGCCATAACCACGGTGTCCAAGAAACCAATATATCAGATTCTTAGCGAAATAAAAGATGAGCCTTTCGTCAAGTGGCCAGCCAAATTAGGGGAAGCGTAGAAAGACTATGACGACAGATCACAGTGCACCTTCCATAAAGAAAAAGGACACCGCACTAAGAATTGCACACCATTGAGACAACACCTGGAAGAATTGGTGGCAGCAGGCCACTTGGACAAGTACATTGAAGGAGGGACGCAACCAGCCCCCCAGGATCACAATAACCCCAACAGGATGCCAGTCGACGCCCCACCTCAAGGCGTTATCAATGTGATACATGGAGTCTTTGAACCTGAGCGTGTATGCGAGCTCAGAGGATCAATCAAAAAGGCTGGGCACTTTAGAGAAGTGCTAAGTGCCCAACCTGCCATCAAGAAGGGGAAGACAGAGGCAACAAACGTCATGTCTTTTTCGGATAAAGACTTGGAACGAATTTACTGCCCTCACAATGATGCCCTGGTCGTCACTCTCCGAGTCAAAGATTTTGACGTCAAGCGGATTCTGATTGACAAGGGTAGTTCATGTGAAATCATGTACTACGAAACAAACAATTGAAGCTGCAAGACAAAGACTTGGCGCCTGCCGTATCTCCCCTAATTGGATTTAACTCCATGCCAATGGCCCGTCGGTAAGATAATTCTTCTAGTCAGAGCAGGAAGCGTGACAAAACAAGTGGAGTTCTGGGTATTGAAGGTCCCCTCCACTTACAATATTATCTTGGGCAGAACATGGCTGCATGCCATGTGATCAGTGGCGTCATCCTACCACCAAGTAATGCGGTTCCCCAACAACACCGGTATAATTGAAGAAGTCTATGGAGATCAGATCATGTCAAAACAATGTTTCGCCACGGTGAATGGCAGCCGCGCTGCCAAAGGATACGTTCATTCGGTGGAAGAACCTGAAAGCAATGAACTATTCGCGGATGTCGGCAAAGAGGCTGATCAGAAAGCAGTGGAGGACTTGGTGGAGGTAAAAATAGATGAAAAGAACCCGGATAAGTTCTTCTTGCTCGGTTTGTCGTTGTCCAGCACTGAGAGATTAGAGGTCTTGGAATTCTTGACCTCTAACATCGAAGTGTTCGCCTGGACACCCTACGACAAGCCAGGCATTGATCCAAACTTCATCAGTCACCAACTTAATGTCCACCCATCCGCTAGACCAATCATCCAACGAACACGCAGATCGGCACTCCACCATGCCGAAATAGTGGCGGAAGAAGTAGGTAACCTGCTGGAGGCAGGAGCAATTAGAGAGGTGCACTACCCG